TTCAGGTCAAAATACTGACATTCGATTTGTTGATATATACTATGTCAGAGGCTAAAATTTCAGTAAAATGACTATAACTCTGGACAGAAGGCCTATCCACTCTTATCCTTTTGGAGTTTATCATACCTCATTGGGGTCTGCATGACACACATAGTTCTGGCTTAAAAGCGATTGAACACTTGGTGACCTTCCCTCGTCAGTTGAAAAGGGCATATACACCCACACCCACACCCTATTTTACGGCACCCTATATACGAAACCTTTTATTTCATGAATAAACTAATCATATTTGACAAAACCTAATTTCTACGAAACCTAAAAAGGTTTCGATTTTGTTTCAAAAATCGGACCTTGTTGGGTTTCGTGTGGCACCTTTTTTTTCAGTGTACGGATTATTAAGTGTTGGCAAAAGTTTGAAAGGAATTCATACACCAGCAAGTTACAATTTAGACGCCATCATATACTTAATGTTGACCGAGAGATAATTGCTAAATTCCCAATTTTAGCAATCCAATGTTGACAGAACAGAAAGATAAGAATAATGTACCTTCTAAAAATTTTTTCCTTATGGCTTCTACAAAGTTGTTATTTTTTTTCGACCACAAATATGTCTTATGTTTCTTCGAAAGATAAATTCTAAGTATCATTTTTGCTCATGCTATTTGAATCATCATCTATTTACTGTTTAATTTGGCAAAGGTAATTTCGATGCGATTGATCATTTAAGTTATAACTTCTATGTAACGTTTATCGAAGTTGTACCTGCGATACAACATACGTATATATCCATATATATATATAAATACTTCATAAGTGAAGATATGAAACGATGCAGTTAGAGAGTATTATTGGTTTTCAGTTTACATAAGATCACAGTATCAGAAGGTTGCCAATAAAGATATTAAACAAAAATATGAAATTATTTACTTTGTCAATGTTATTAGAGGCATTATTTTTCTCTTTTTCTCCTATGTTTAAAGTGAAGAAATTACTAATAAAAACGAAGCATTAAACTAAGCAAGACTCTCTTTTTTTATTACTTCATCGACTGTTTTCATTCATGTTGACTTATTGTGATTGGTACAAAAAGCGTTTCTTATAACTTCTACTCTTGCTACGCACGGAGAAGAAAAACAATATTAAAATATTTGCTCAGCATTTAAGTATCCTTGAGAAAGCGTTTGGCTGATTCTTCTTCATTTTCGATTTTAAAAAGTATCCATGTTATTAGCTGGTCGATTTATGGTATGTTGCGTGATTTTAGTTATCTTCATAATATTTTCAGTTAGTTTATCTATTGATATATCACATAAAAGGCAGCAGTTAATAAGTACGGTTCTTTCTATTTAGTTAAATACGTTTTTTTCGCTTATTTTTTGTTTTAGGACACGAAATTTGGTATCGATTGTGGGGGTTGTCCCTTTTCGTTCTTGTCTTTGTTTTACGGACATCTGACAATGAAGTCCGAAACGGATTTCAGCTAGTTCGAATGTTCGGGATGAAAGTCGTTCAGATGCTCGCCAGGGAAAATACCGGATGTTGGGAGCTTAAAATGACAGATTTTCGGAACATAAACTGACATATGTCCGAAACCTAAAACGACGGATGTTCAGAAGAAAATCGAATTGGTTTTTTTATAACATAGCTTATATTCTTTTATTTCCTAGTAGTCTTTTAAAAAGACATAGGACAACAGAAATTTACACAAGTGAGATAAAAAGTAACTATTACAAGAGAAAATTTGTTTTTATGTCTAATGATTTTTGCAGCGTGCCTTGTTTTTTTCTTCTTTGAAGTTTCTTTCATATTGTCATCATCTGATTCATTTGCGGGTGTGGGCGTGGGTGGGTGCATTCAATTGCAAAGACCATATACCCCCAGACTCACACGCACACTCTTTCGTTTTCTAAGAACAATAACCATTACATGATTCAACAAAACAATTCGGTATGCTGCGAAAGTCATCGTTCCAGTCACCTATGTTCACGATACTAGTCTCTATAAAACAGAAAATATTTTAGTTTTAATACTCATTCCCACTATCTATCTGTAAGATCTATCGCTCATGACTGAACTCTACGCTATTTACAAAAATCTAACTGTATGTAAAAGAAGAGGTCGCTACGCTCAGCAACTTAAAATATACTATATGAATGAATTGTTTTCCATGTTAAAAACATACATCAAAATTCATTCCGAGCATCTGTCGTTTTATGTTTCGAACATCTGTCACTTGTTGTTCTGAAAATCTGCCACTTTAAATTCCGCACATCCGGTAAAACGATTTTCTGTTTAATATCCGATTTCGAACATCCGGCTCTTTAGCCGGATATCCGGAAGAACAAGGACGAAAAGCGACAAACCCCGATTGTGAAATTTATGTCTAAAATATTATATAGAAACCACGAAATAATCGTAGTAATATATTGTCCTAGACTATATTTCAATGAAATCAATAATACTTGGAGTGATTAATTTTGGTTTTCTTAGGGATATCTCTCGCTTTTCTTCGGTCATTATTGAAATACATAACTGAAATGTAATGAATTGAAAATCTAGCAGAGTTGTTGTGAGGAACTTATTTTTTTTATTATCCGACTAGCTTGAATTTGTTTTATCACAACAGATTATTACCCCTTCAGGTAGCCTTATCAAAGAAATGAATCTATCACGACTTTTACAAGAATATATCATATTTGCAGTAGAGTCAAAACGATTTGTTTCCAATTTAATAAAATAAATATTTTAATTAATTGTTACGTTGTTCTTGTATAATTGAGAAAATTACGAAAACATTTCTATTTAGTATTTGTGTACAACACTGATATGAATGAAAATTGTTCCATAGATATTCATAGATTGAAAAATCATTCTATCGTTTGATTCTGATAGTCCATCGGAGGACTGTGTAGCTCGAAACGTATGTAGGCTCATTTATGTTAGTGTAAACTAGTAACTTTTCTTCGTCTTACATGGTGATAATTCTTTTGCTGATGCAGATAATAAAACGCGTAATTTAAAACCTCAGATGCTTTAGTCTTGCATATAAGTTATAATTAGTCAGACAAGCATGTTTACTCTTGTGATGATTGTTTTGATTACTAGGGTACTCGACAATACCTATTGTGGTTTCTAATTATTGCAAGTTGGAATCTTGCTAATGCATTTCCAACCACTGAGGGTATGTTTTGCATTACAAGACCTGCTTTTTCTAAAAAAATGTTCACATTAAATAATAGAAATTTCACCGATAAAAAACTCGTTTGAGGAACTTCAAGGACGGTATAGGCGTAGCGTAAATGGAGACTCCATTTGCGATGCTCCTTGTACTTGTCAATGCAGCTCAACTGGAGCACCACAAACAAGTGAAGTAACATCAGTTGGCACAACCACATCAACCACATCAACAATAAGTTCTACAACAACAACATTAACAACATCGACGTCGACATCAACAACGACATCCACCACCACGTCGACATCAACAACGACATCCACCTCCACGTCGACATCAGCAACAAGTACTTCGACGACTAGTACGAGTACCAGCACTACCAGTTCTACAACAAGTACCTCGGCGACTAGTACGAGTACCAGCACTACCAGTTCTACAACAAGCACTTCAACAACAAGTACTTCGACGACTAGCACGAGTACCAGCACTACCAGTTCTACAACAAGTACCTCGACGACTAGTACGAGTACCAGCACTACCAGTTCTACAACAAGTACTTCGACGACTAGTACCAGTACCAGCACTACCAGTTCTACAACAAGTACTTCCACGACTAGTACGAGTACCAGCACTACCAGTTCTA